TTCGAGTTTTTAAGTAACCACAAAAGATCTTTGGAGCTTTTAAGTATCCACGTTAGATTGACACCACGTTTCAAATAAGGTTTTTGTATAGTACTCCTGAATTTTATACTTCACTGTTGTTAATATCTTGGTAAAGAGTAAAGAAAGAGGCTTGGGTAAACATTTACTGGAGCCTGCAGGATAGGTAATTCAGTTTGATTGCTGGGAATATTAAGAATATTTAAAACTGACCTATGATTTTGAAGAACTTCCCTTTGGAAAGAAAACTATAATTGCATGTTGGATTTCCACTTGAAGAATTAAATTCAATTTCCTCTAAAATACAATTAAGATAATGATAAGATGGTTTTCATATTGCCCTTCAACCGTTTAATGCGCGGAAAAAACATCCATCTGATACTTTTAATCCATTCTGAAAAATTGTCAAGATCTTTTTCATTTTATGCCCAACACTTGGCGTAATCTTCAATCGAATTCATAATACATGTATTTATGAAATTTCGACGCCAGTTGAAAGATCGGAGTTCCGTAAATTTTGGCTCTTTTAAAATAAAAATGAGACTCAACAATGGATTCACTCTACATTGTTAACATAGATGTTTAATAAATCAAGCATAAATTGATAAAAAAAAAATCATAACATTTTGACCTTAGATATTGCTTAATTTGTTTTCCTTCAGTAAAAACGAAACACAGTGACATTAAAACAGCTTTCTTTATTTTGATGTCTAGTCTTTATGTGTGAAAAAGAGAGAAAAAATTGTTCCTTTTTTCAAATTTTGTTTCTCGATCTTTTTAAAGAATGATATAACAAATGTAGCCCTTTTATACGGTCAATCCATAGATATATCGACTTCACAGAAAAGCATATCGACCGAACACGAAGTGCAACCTCATAAAAGGGTTATATTTGTATAATATTAAAGTACACCCCCCCCCCATATATATATATATATATATATATATATATATATATATATATATATATATATATATATATATATATATATATATATATATATATATATCAAATATATATCAATACTTTGATATAGATTTTCCATTACAAATAGACCCTTTTTTTCAATGGTTGGAAAACCCATATTAATTCACAAGCTTATTGAAGTCAGAATATGTTTAGACATATTTAGCAATGAGGAAACAACTTAAGTTTATAAGAGGTGAGAAACAGGATTGATAATAGAAAAAAAATGAAATGGGGAGAAAAATGAAAAATTATAATTTGTTACTTTTACTATTTCTAATGCCAGTTATAAGAGGATGTTTGGATAATAATTGGTAAGGTTTTACGTTAATAATCTTAAAAATAAGTGTATAATATTGTAGTATCTCACAAACGTATGGAAAAGGTGAAGAAAACGAACGGTAAATTCACAAAATCACAAAAGTGAAAATGATCATTAAAAAGTTAATTCAATAAAATTTAAAAATGGTTTATATTTTTAATTCACTGTCTGCTTAATACAAACCACCACACAGCTATATGTATAAATTGTTAACGATGCAGTCTTTTAAAAAAAATCTTTGTCCTCTCCTGACCGACTGGTTAAAAATGGCCCGGCTCAAAACATTTTTTACCCTCCAGGAAACGCTTACTTTTTTATATCAATTCCGGAATTTGCTCATCCCGCAACATCTATTCCAATTTTATTAATACCTTTAATTTAAAAAGTTATTTAAATATTCAGCATTGATATTGAACATTTCTTGAAAAAAAATCTCATCTACCTATCGACTCAATTTTTTTATCCTGAGTTGGGAGAGACAAAATATTATTTTAAAGATGGCGCGGTATAAACATTCAGTTACTCCTTCATTCATGCACATGAGAGAGCAAAGCATGAATGATTACTCGTTATTTCAAAGAATACCATTTTCCATCTTAGTAAATGATTTAAAATTCGGGGGAAAATTAATTCACATCTAACTTTGCATAATGACCAAAATGTCGGTAAAACATACTCGGAGGACTTTTTTGTTTGGTTTTACAAATACGTTTACAAATACAATTTATACAATGATCCAATACGCAAGTTTCGAGATTATCTCCCTTGGTGCGCTCTTTCGTTACGGAGGGGAGTTTTGTGCCCGCGTAAGCAGGCAGGTGGGACAGTTATTTATATATGTGATACATTACATCATCGATATACCATTGTAACTGATTGTCGGGATGCACTCTTCAACTCGAAAATTACTGAACTTAAGTAAAGGCGTCATTTTTTTTACGAACAAAAAATCGGAACGAAAGAAAATAAAAATCGGAACAAAAGAAAATATCAACAGATAAGAACTTATCAAACGAGGGAAGAGATACATGTATTGATCTCTAATAAATACACACGTATGTGATCACTGTATGTCGGCATTATGAATGACTCTTTCCCTTATAATAACTTCAAAGAGCCCAATAATTTTTTAGAAAAAGGTTTGTACAATCAAAGAATTATTTTTCTTATGAAGACTATGACGGTTCTTTCGTTTTCTAGTATCCTAAATGAAAGTAATTAAATTTTGTAAATATGTATAGTAGAGCTTTATAAAACCATCAAAAGGATCATTGGTTAGCATTATCGTCTTTCTATAACATTAAATGAATTTTAAAAGCCATAGCCATAGTCCATTTATTTATGCACATTTGTATACATTAACAACCTGTCCCACTTCCATTCTGATATGGATACTTTTTGCGCCTCTATCGTAGGAGAGTTACAATCTCGAAACTCGCGTATTGCGCATTTTTGTCACCCAAATTTTTCCATACTAAAATAACCTCAAATTCATTCCATGCTTCCTTATAATAATATAATGTTTACTTGTCAACACGTAACAACCACTTTTGATCTCCAATGAGTCTGAGTTCATTTGCACTTAAAAGACAGAACAACTTTGTTTTGTGAGAAAGGTAATTTATTCAATTTACCACAAATATATTTGATCAGTTGATGAAATTAGTGTCAATCATTGATTAACAAAAAAATGACTGAATAAATGTCAAAAAATTTGCAAAGGTGGGGTTAAAAAACCAAGTTGTTACCAGAATATAATTATAATAACTGAACAACGCAAAAACAAAAATTACAGTTTGCTTGTGATTTAGGACTGAAGAATTTTTAAACAAATTATAGCAGGGTGCTGGTGGGTGGGTAAATTGATTTCTTGTAAAAACTTTAGGTGCGTCTGGCAGCTATTAAAACAAAGAAGTGATTAAAGTGTGACTTCTCTAGTCAAGATAAGATTTCAGTATAGGAGTGCTTAGTTCTGATTGGATAAAATTAATTGGATTAACACTGTCCATTGCATACACAGTGTCCCTGCCATGCCAGATTGCAAATTCCATCTGATGACTTGTGTAATTATCTACCAGATGCCAACAATAATGATGCCCCCCACCTACATGTCTGGTGGCTAATTTCAAGACCTTAATCATTATTGTTATCACCAATGAGTATATAATTATAACAAAAGTATCTCATTACAAAATTTGCTGCCAAAAATGTTTTTATTTACAATAAAATAAGCTTTTTGAGAAATATTTATTACAGAATCACTAAATTTATATGGAAGGTCTGTATCATATCATTATCATTATTAGCTAAATTTATCTTCAAATCTGCTAATGAGTTCTCTTTTGTAAACAAAACAAAAATTAAAATTGCCATACACCATTTCAAAATTAAATGTACCAATGGTATAATGTGTATTCATTAAATTGATACTCATTTATGTAGTAATATACCATTATCACCTGCATATGAATTTTATGATTCCCAGTTGCAAGATCATGCTCTACTTAGGAACAATTTCTAATACAAGGCAAGCTACTGACAAACAAGTTGATAAAACAAAAATATCAACAGTCCCCTTTCTTAGTCAACATTTCGCAAATTCTGTAGTCGCTAAAATTTCTTATTAGCAAATACAATCTATCAATAATTCAAATGCTAACTGACGTTTGTCATACAAATTGTTAGGCCATTTTTTCCACACATAATTGAGTACATATTTTCTCGTTTGTCCGATCGTGACAATGATCACATGATCTCTCCACTGATGTTTTTAAGAGGTTTAATCCCAATCTGTATTGTTCCAATGGTCCTTTAAGCTTGATTACTGATTTATCTTCATATTTCATGCAGTTAATGTTACCTATTGGGTTTGTTTCTGTGTATACATCTCAATATTCTTGAAAACCATTATATGAAAGACATAAATATTGAAATAAATGTTTTTTTAAAAATAGAAATGCTTTGCCTATTGTTGGACAAAATTCTATCTTTTCTGGCACAAATATTATGATTTGGTTAATCAGGAATAATTGCAGGCGAAAAACTGCAGATCAAACATGGACTGATAAACAAACTAGAGGTGACAGAGAAAAAAATGATGTCATTGTCTTAGAATTGGTGTGAGTACCGTATAACCCAAGGCAATTAAGGTATTAAGTCAAAGAAATGTTTTCAGTGCAAAAGTACAACATGTTGTCAAAGTTGGTTATTTTATAAAGACAAAAGACGCTGTAATTGTTTAAAAACTGGATTCTTGCCCCCGTTGTAAAGCTTGATAAAAAAATTATATGTGGAGGTTTAAAGTCATATTCCTGTTTTTGAGGTTGACCAGTATCCTCTACCTTGCATGAAATACATTTTCGGGGCACTTGCAGTGGGCAAGCGCTTAACAAAATTAGATGTAAAACATACGTAGATGGAATTTTGATGAAGAATAGAGTAAATCATTGACTATCAAGACAGAGACAGGAATGTATCGATAACTCTTTCGAAGAAAAAATAGGAAAACAGCAGAAAAAAATGGAATCGCTACATTTTTTTCAGTATATGATGGCTCATGTTACCATTGGCTGACAATTTTCATGGGTTACAACTAGATTATACTCCCCTTTTATGAAAGAATTCATTTAAATACTAAAAATAACCTTTTTATGTAACATTTTTAGGCCGAAGACCTGCTGTTCAAATTACAGAATGACTGAAACGACCTGCATAAGTATGTAAAAAGTATTCATCACTTATTATTAGCATTCATTCTTTCACTTCGCCTTAGATATAGATGTATCTTTAAAAAATGTTATGCTACACACTCCAGTATAATGAAAAACTCTTTTCTAACGCTTTTTAAGGTTGTGAGCCTGGTACATATGGAATAAACTGTTCAGAGTCGTGTCCTGATGATCATTACGGAGAGAGATGTTTGTCTGTGTGTAATTGTACAGAGGGAAAGTTCTGTGATAAAAGGGTGGGATGTATAAAACAGTCAACTCCAATAAATGGTTCAATTTTGTGTGATTGTACAGAGGAAAAGATATGCGAAAAAGGGATGGCGTGTATGAAACCGTCAACTTTCAGGAATGGTCCAACGATTGATACTGGTTTGAACACAGTTGCGTACAACACTTCCAATGAGACGTTAATTAAAACTAAAGCAAAATCTGATTCAACAAAGGGTTTACTTAAGTCTGTTTCTGAAACTGTAATGATGTTCTACACTGTACTGATGATAACTCAAAATATCTTTATATTTCAATGAACAGATGAATATCCGAATGCAGTAGGTAGCAATGATGTCATCATGAATGCGAGCTCACTTGTTTCTCTTTCCATAATTTCCGTGATTGCATGTCTATGCTATTCTAAAAGGTAATCATCTGTCAAGCCAAATCCACCAAAATGAGCAAAAGATGCTTAATTATTTACTTATCTGCTTTATATTAAAATTGTTAATTACTTCAGAATATAATAAGTGCTATAAATGCGTCGCTCGCCTTCTGTGAAACAGATGAAAATATTTCTGTTTTTAGTTTTATGAATGGCTGGATTTCTACTTCTGGTGAATCAGCCCTCCCTTTGTTTGCAAAAAAAATAATCGTATAGCTTTTGTAAGGACAGTTTATTTCTGTTTTCTTAGATGGACCTCAAAAACAGACTTAAAAGGGATAAGTAGTGAATGTCTGTCTTATTTAATTCTATGAAAAAAATGCATTATTGTTTCTTTAAGAGTAATTTCAAAATTTGTAGAAAAAGAAAAACATTGCAATAGATGCTGATAAAAATGAATTTAAAAAATTGGATTTCTTCTTTATCTAAATTATAAGATCAAATTTTATCTCATTTAGGCACACGAAGCGAAGAAAATCAAGATTCTCATTCCTACCTGGCGATCAGTGAACGGACCCCTCAACTATATGCAGATGTACACTATGAAGAGTCCACAGAAAGGAATAATTTACCATCCATGGTCAGTGAACGGTATCCACTGTATGCTAATGTACACTATGAAGTGGAAATAGAGAGAAAAAGTTCAGCTTCTACAATCAGTGAACGATCTATTCCACTATACGCTAATGTTAACTATGAAGTGGACGCAGAAAGTAAACGTTCATCTTCAGAATCTTTATATGACAAGGGAGAAAACTCTATTAGCACCACTAATAGTAGTAAAAGATCTGACGATTATTTGACACTCATTGGGCACACTGAGGACGAACATCAACATAACAATCAATTATCTGCTCATGTTACCCTCATGATATAATGACAAATACGAAAGTGTAGAGTAGAGACGTATATTTCACAATACAATGCATTAAGCAAAAAAATTCTTTTTTCTTAGACAATGTTAATAACTTTGCAAACAATACAACAATGCTAAAAACTCACATGGCTATGATACATTGATTGTCCCTTAAAATCATGAAATCTTAAATAAATGTCTTTCATAGTAATAAAATTATAACGATTTATAAGAAGGCCGATATGGTCTGTCGGCGCACGAACAAAATCTGGGATAATTAGCATTTGTTACCTTTACAAGTGCATTTTGTTCTCTAATAATTTTCAAACTATTAATTACAAATTAATATCAGTTAAATCAGAAAAGAAATCTGCGTAACGTCAAATTTTCAAGTAAGTGGCAGAGAGAGAGGAGTGGTGACGTAATGTTTCAAAGCATACTCTAAATTGCGTTTGCTGCAAATGACGTCGACAAACGCCTTCCTTGTACACAGGGATCTAACAAAATATTGTTTCGAATTTAGTCTGAACCCCTCAGAGACGAAAATATATATAGAAGTGACATAATACACTACAACATTTGCAGAGAAGTATTTCATAAATGGTGTTAGCAATTTAATTACAGTTTCATCTCAACACCGAAAAAATGAAGGCCAAATGAGTAGACCTATGATTGTCATATTCTTCATAAAATAAGTAGAGCGACCTTGCGGAACTGAAATTTGAATCTAATCAAAAACAAGAAGGGTAGTTTACCGGTGAATTAAAAATATCAACAAAAAAAATTCCATGTTGCGCACAAGAATGTTCATGACGTTATAAGAGAAGTAAATTACGTTTGCTTTCGGATATGCTATCTTTAAATGTTGTTTTTTACTATGACAAGAAAGCAGATAGAAACTTAAATGTTTAACCTGTCCACGACTTTTTGGGACAACATTCGTATATATGTGAAATAAACATAACTTATTACTGTTTTTGTAAAGAAGAAAAACATGGAAGAAAAACATTTCTAAAAACCTTTATGAATCATAAAATTTATTTCATTTAGAAACCTTAGGTTATTCAGCCACAAGGATACATTTTACAGAGACAAACATCTTATATAGTTCCTATGAGTTTAAAAGTCGTTTAAATTGGGTAACAGGTTAAGTTAATACGAATTAACTTGTACGCTCCGTTCTCATTACATTGCGAGTTCCATTGTATCAAGGTATTGTCCAAAAATTAGGACACATAACTCATATCCTTTTTACGAAAGCCCAGAAGGCTCATTCGAGATTCGAGTTTCGAAATACGAGATTCGAAATTCGAGTTTCGAGATTCAAGATCCAAACTAACCAATCAAAAGGCGGTTTAAGATTCAATTACTCCCCTTTGCTACGTTTGACCTTGTAGAAATCGTTGAATATATTTAAACCGAAGAGGTCATTTGATTATATTACAATGCAAGAAAGTTATATATATCAGAAGGAACTTAGAAAAAAATATTTAGTTGTTGGTCTGCAAAATATGCTTAAATTTTTTTATAACTTCTGAAATATTATAATAGATTTATATCAAGAATATCTATACCGTATTATCTACTTTGTTTACAGGTTTGATGTCAAAATAATAAATATTGTTAATCGGATTCAAAGAGCAAAAAAAGGGGGGGGGGGGCGTATTGTAGTCGATGAGAATTATTAGTGTGCAATAAAAGAAGTGACTAGTGATTATTAAATAATAAATAGTAATACGCGTTTCAAAGTAGATACAGTTTGTGACAAGGTGTTAGAGAAGTGACCATTGAATAATACGGGTTTCAAAGTTAAGTGTGCAATAAAACAAGTGACTAGCGATTAATAATAATTAGTAATACGCGGGTTTCAAAGTGGATATAGTTTGTGACAAGGACAAGAAAGTAACCAGCGACCAATACGGATTTCAAAGTGGATATAGTTTGTGACAAGTATTAGAAAGTGACCAGTGACCAAGTTTTATTGAAACCAATAGACAGCCCCTTAAGTAGGATGGCTGAAATATACATGCTTAATAAAAATAATGATTTCTCTTTGTTCAGGCCCGTAGGAAATAATTTTAAAAAATCACTGTAAAGCCCCCCCCCCCCTTCCAAAAAAGCAACAGGGGGTTATCACGGTTATTAGACGTTATTTTTTAAAGGACACAAGCATAAAGCTGCTATGTTTTCTATTGTATATTATATCGGTAAAAAATGTAAGGGGAATGTGTGGGAGGGGGGAGGGGTAGAGGCACGTGCCCAGGGTCCTATGGCTATGTTGTTTATTTTATTACAACGGTAGACAAATGTTCTGTTATCAATATTCAGTGTCAATCTTGGAATGCATGGGTAAAATAATTATATATTCGATATATATTTATAAGGAAACCGCTAGGGTCTCGCAAAATACATAACCAATCAATACAAAAGTTTCAATACACGATGTAATGGCCATAGAGAAAAAAAGATACAAAAGTATTGATAATGATAAAAAAATTAATTATTTTAACAAAACACAACCTTTAGGACTTTGAAAAAATCGTATAGCCTAAAGCAGTACGTATTAAAATTACTTAGTTCATGTATGCCTTTTAGTGTTCCCTTTCCAATGGTGTATATTCCATATAGGCGAAAAGGCTGTAGTCTATACATCATTTTCTTGATGTAAAAAAAATATTTATTCATACATGTATTTGGTTGAAAAATGGGGTAAAGTTGATCATAAATCTTATTTATTTACCAGTTACTAGAATATTTTTTATCAAATGCAATAAAAGTATTTTTAGCTATCCACACCTTTATGCCTATCCAATTTTTACAGTATACACAACTTTAGATTTTTATAGCTGGTTAAATCTAAAATTGAAATGTTACCTTGAAGTCGCGATCGATATCAGACTATTAAAAAATGATAGCAACAGGAGTCTACGATTAGGACAGGGAATAAAAATTAGGAAATATGTTTGGGTTAGTAGGAAGTCAAAAATAAAACATTTTAAAAATTATATTTAGATTATTCAGTAAAGTAGTTTCCATAATTTCCAAGTACTGTGTAAGCCTAGGATTTTAAAATTTCTCAATTTTATTAAGAGTGGTAACGAAGATTTAAATTCCTGTATCATAAAAATATGTTTAAATGATTTATAATTATATTCTCTTGAAAAATGACAATGATAGATGTCTGCAAGATCGCAGAAAATGGTCTTCGACCCCCCCCCCCCGTTCTTCTATTGAGAGGGGGCGACTCCCTCCTTGCCTATCCGCAACTCGGCAATGATGCGCTTTAGGTGAAATCTGTGACTTCACATTAGCCTACACATTAGCAGAAGTGAATATACACCACTGTTTCCCAATAGGAGAAATACATAAAAATAAGTTTTCAATTACTTAACTTGGTCTAAGGCTTTGAATACTTGAATTAATTAAATATTATATGTACAATACAGACTGGAATTTATTTTATTCCATATCAAATAGTAACTGCACAAATGCATCCCTTTAAAGTAATCAAATTTATCCTTAATTAAATTACTGTGCAGTGTAAAGACGATCCATAGTATTTCATATCAATAATAATTTTCTCTCTCATCCATTTGCTATTTAAATAATTCATCGACCTACTAAGTTTGCAACTCAACTATAAGACCATATAATATTCAATAGATGTATCTATTGTTTTGCTTAATGAGGAAAATAAGATTTTATGTATTTTTTTTTCTAAAACAGTTACCCAAAATTCATTTTTATTTTGTTTTGATACATATAACATTTTTTCTTGCATTATTATTTAAGCAAATGACCCATTTGTTATAAATATATTCAGTGATTTCCTGATAGTAAAAACTTAATAAAGGGAAGTAATCAAATATTGAATCCCCCTTTTGATTGGTTAGTTTGGATCTTGAATCTCGAAACTCGAATTTCGAATCTCGTATTTCGAAGCTCGAATCTCGAATGAGCCTTCTGGGCTTTCGTACCTTTTTGTTAATTGACTATCTGTGGTCTGACTGTTGATTCGTGTAATGATAAAAAGTATGGAACACGTAGTAGAAAGATTTAATTCAAATAAAGAGTAATTTTCAGACTTCCATTCCCTTTTTCTTTTTATATCCACCTAGTAAAAACCATAATGAAGTTCATATTATGAAGCCGTCAAATGCTATTGTTGTTTAGTTTGTTTGTTCATGTTCAGCTACATGTAGATTCATATACTGAATTAAAAAAAAGAAAGAAAACAAGATGTGTTTGTGAAACACTGATGCCCCCGTATGGCAGCTTATGGCGAAGGTTAAAGTTTCTTCAAATGCAAGTCAAAATCCAGGCCAATAGATAAAAAATGTTGATACCCAAAGAAAGGTCTTGTCTCGAGGAATACACCCGTGAAATTTGACAGACCTAGATACAACTGTTCAAAGGTTATGGCGAAGGTTAAAGTTTTTTAAAAAAAAAGACAAACGTCAAGGTCAAGGTCAAAGTGGTTGGTACCAAAAGGAAGATCTTGTCACAAGGATTACATATGTGAAGTATGAAAGCCCTAGCACCAACCATTCAAAAGTTATCGCCAAGGTTAAATTTTTTCAAAAGTAGGTCAAACTCCTAGGTCAAGGTCAAAGGGTCAAAGTGGTTGGTATCCAAAGGAAGGTCTTGTCGCAAGAATTACATATGTGAAGTATGAAAGCCCTAGCTCTAACCATTCAAAAGTTATGGCCAAGGTTAAAGTTTTTCAAAAGTAGGTCAAACTCCTAGGTCAAGGTCAAAGGGTCAAAGTGGTTGATATCCAGAGGAAGGTCTTGTCACAAGGAATACACATGTGAAGTTTGAAACCCTAAGCACCATCTGTTCAAAAGTTATGGTCAAGGTTAAAGTTTTTCAAAAGTAGGTCAAACTCCAAGGTCAAGGTCAAAAGGTCAAATATAATGGTACCCAAAGAAAGGTCTTGTCAAAAGGAATACACATGTGAAATATGAAAGTCATAGCTCCAACCAATCAAAAGTTATGGGCAAGGTTAAAGTTGACAACAG